AGCTATTTCTTTAGAACTCCATTTTTTTCTATCGATTGAGTACAAGAAACTGGCCCATTTACCGATTTCAACTACCTAATAATGTGGTCAAAATTTGGAATTTGGCCAATTTCACAAAAATAAAAAATATGAAAATTTTCAAAATAAGGTCCAGAATGAACAATGCAGACATTCCTGCTCTAAAATAACATTTTCTTTGTTCATCATCACATCTTCAGCCCCTTTCTATATTACTCCTTGCTTTCTATTTTGAATTTTTATTCAAACAAAAAATAGAAGACTTACTATTATGCAGACTACTGCAATACTGTAAAAATTTGTATAAATAACATCAACCCATTCGTGACTGCATATTAGAATGCTAATTGGAAAATTTATTGGACAAGGGCATCATTTGTTTACTTTTTGAACATTGGCAAAAATCAAACATTTCCCCTACTTTGAGCTCCATTTCTAGGTTCTTTTTATAGTAAAATCAATCAAAATCACCTCTATTTCTATAATATGTTTTCCATTCTATCAAATGAGACCAAGAAAATGAGAATACAACCATAAATACTATACAGAAATAGACCACAAAGTTGGCATTTTAATTAAAAAAAACGGTCGGAGTTTTTTTTTTCTCATTATGCACTGCGTGCTCCAGGATTTTTTTTATATGGTGCACACTGACCACACAGACCCATTCTCTCACATGTGGGCCTACCAGCTTTCTCCTGCTTGATTTGAAGCCGCTAGAATTTATGAGTATTTATACGTCAAACACGGTACCTCGTAAGACGTACATATACGGCCGCGACAGTCAAAGGTTAATGGCTGCCTCATTGTGAAGTCTGAAGGTGACTTTAGTAGTGTCTTGGGGTAATTTACCAAGAGTTGTTATGAAGAAAGTAGGGTAGTGGTCTGTGGTATTATCTGTAATTATGCCTGATTTTAAAGGGGATATGGTGTTGGTCCAGATGTGGTAAAGTGGGGAAAACCCACTAGTCTCCATAACTCTTGTAGGTTTTGTTACTGTTGGTAGCAACATGCAGTTTACTCATTGTGTTTTGTGAATTCAGTAACGTGTGGGTCCTGGTCTTGCAGGGAGATTTATATTGAAGTCACCTGAGAGTAGTAAGTGATCTTTTTTCATGCGTGCATCATTATCATACTTCCTAGGTTTTGACTAATTTGGCTAATGTTTGACTGTGGAACTCTGTAGATGTAAATTTATCAATGTGAGAGTTTTTTGTAGGAAACGGATTTGGTTTTGAATTTAGCTATTATATTTTCCCATGTTCATCCCTTGTGCAAGTATTAGTGATACATTCTAGTTGGTCTGAGTATTATATATGTGCCACCCCCTTGTTGATCTGTCCTACAGTTGTGTATGGCTGTGTAACCAGGAATGGCATAGACATCGTAAGTATCAGGCTTAGCCAGGTTTCGGTTAGTGTAATGAGGACATATTGCATGCAAGGAATTTATTAATGCTATGAGGTCATTGTAATGCTTGCTTAAAGATCTGATATTGTAGTAAAAGACATTTTATGTTTTTGTTGGCTCTGAGAAGTCCCTTTTGATTGTTCTGCTGTGTAGTAATTACAGTAACTGTTTGATTCATTTAAGTCTTTCAATAAGAGGTTGGTATCAGGATCAGTGCTTGTAATCATAAGATTTGTAGTGAATCTATAGTTAGAATTAAGTATAAAACAAAGTAAATATTCTAAAGCTAAAAAATAGCACCTGAATTATTTAACAAATGTAAAAATAATGAGCTAAGGTAGTTTTTTAAGCTAATATAAAGGAGACAATATAAAAGGGACTAAAATAATTTTTGGGGTGAACAAATAAAGTGATGATAAAATAATGGAGCTTGGGAATATGATAGTGGGTAGTACTTTAAAGGTAATTCTTTAAAGTTAGAATTAGGGAAAACAATATAAAAGGGACTAATATAAGTTGTGGTGAACAATAAAGTGGTAATCAAAAAATGAGCTTTGGAATATAATGGCAAAATAGTGAACTTATTACACTTTAGCACCTGAGAATAGCACCTTGATTATTTAACAATTGTGAATATATGAACTAAGGTAGTTATATAAAGCTAAAATAAAGGAAAAAATATATAAGGGACTACAATTAAGTAATGGTAAACAAAGTTAAATGGACAGATAGTCACTATGAAATAATATTGGTTTAGGGGTAAGATCTGATTTGTAATATTAAAAAGTTGATCAGTTTATTGCACAATAAAAATAAAAAAATGAGGTAGTTTGGGACTAGCTAGCAAAAGATAGTTTTGGTACTTGCAAAAAGTAATTGGAATATACACTAATTGCACACACAATAAAAAGTGACTAAAAAAACAAGTAGTGGTAAACAAAATTAAATGGACAGGTGAGAACAATGAATAATATAAATTTGGAGTAAGATTTGACTTTAACTTAAAATTATGAGCAATTAATAGCAGTAAGTAATAAGTATAAAGTATTGGAGGTATTTGCATTAGCTAGTGAAAGAAAAAAATAAAAAAAAAATAATGCACAATATAATAGTAAACGTACACTATATGCACCACACGTATATATGTATTAAGGGCACTTATCTAATCTGTTTCAGAAAAAGTCCGCTTTTCTAAGAAGGTAGAGAAAAACATGTTCGTTTTAGATAGTATATTGTTGTCCTGTTGATGTTTCCTTTCTAGTATTTTTCCATCTTGCGTGAAACCTGATGTATTTTGTTTTCCTGTTTAAGTTTTCTCAGCCTGAACAGAAGGTTTTGACGTTTTTTTGTTAGACACTCATTTATGTACACTCCATTTTTCATTGTAATTGCTGATTTAATTAGGTCCTTTCTTTATCGTATGAATGAAGTCTGATCATTATACTGAGTTTACTTCCTGATTTTCCTAGCAAACGTGATTCTTTGATTTCCATTGTTTTGCACGATGACTTGTACGTGGTCCCGTATTATCCTGAAGCAGTTCTTGCACTGTGCTTGGGTTATGTCACTAGAATGTTGGACTGTTTTATTATAACTGCATCAGACAACTTATCTTGTTCATTTGTCGTCTTGGAAATCAAGGTATTCATTTAGTCGAGTGTGCATGTTCTGATTCCAGTCCTTGATTGCTTTCTTCAACCTTCATATTTATTGTAGTTATTTGCTCATGGGGACTGGCAAAAGTTGCTTTCAGAGTATTTTCTGTGTCAACACATCCCGAGGGAATCTTCTCTTCAAGGTTTTGGATCTTGTTCTCGAGGTTGGTTTATCTTGGATTCTCGTCGCTCGAGTGTTGCTTTGATATCTTTGATTTCGTTTTCTAGAGCAATGATGTAGTCCTTTATATTGTCAGGAATAAAAATACCTGAGTAATCATGGTGAATCCTTTGAAGGGAGTGGAGTGGAGGGGGATCAGCCAGTTTGTTGTTGTTCCCTGGGGTTGGCGGCAGTGAGGGGGTTGATGATTACACCGGCGTCCTGCTGGTAGACAAGTTGAGTTCTAGGGTCCTTTCTGTTATTCTTTTATTTCTGATGTTTTTTTCTTCTGCGATATCCTTTCATAGTATCACTGAAGTAGAAAACTGTGTAGCTATGGAGGAGAAGGCTTGTTTTCTCGGAGCTTGGGTTAAGTGGTTGTCTGGCAGCGGAGGCAGTGTTTGGGTTAGCAGGGCTGTCTTCCTTAGATCTTCTAATTTTGTCAAGATTTGGGTTACATTCTTAGTATTCTTGGGTCATTTTGTGGTCTACGTGGGTTCATGTAGTTGAACTTTCACTTAGGCCATCACAAGTTTTAATGAGCGATGTTTTTTGAGGAAGAAGAGCTGGTAGGATGCCGCTGCTGCTGCCGCTAATGGCGGAAAGCAGAACGCCATTTTTTTTCCACTTATAATAATACATACAAATGCCAGACAACAAGTTTACACTAACTTATATTAAGTTAGTAATAGAACTAGGCATTAAAAAACACAATAAAAAGTAAAATACATACACATTACTTACCTTAAAATATTTGTAGTCTTAATGTAGGGCGAGAGCTGACTAGTAGAGCCTCTCCTGACTTAGCGACGTCCTCGTTTACTGATGCCTTGGAGTTACGACGGGCTCTCTGACCAGTATGCATGCCTAAATAATGTATATTAGAGCTGATTTCCTCTATAGTGGTACCTTGATTTATGAGTGCCCCAACTTAGGAATTTTCTGAGTTTCGAGCTGTCACTCGGTCGATTTTTTACTTTGAGTTGCGAGCCAAAATCCGAGTTATGAGCCAGCTTCAGATATGCTGCCACTAGTTGGCAGTGTATTTGAAGTCAAATACAACTCTGTACCCAGAGGAATGTCAGGAACTTCATCCCATCCCATGTGCACTTCCAATGCATAACTGGAAAGATAATACTCCCACACTAATCTCAGATTGTAGTGAGGCACCTTGTCCCTTGTTTGGTTTTCGTATAAATCCGGGGAAGAGGTAACCTCCATTTCAATGGAGTTTTTCCAGAAACATTAAGGTGGGTGGAGTAGTGATAGTGGTGGGTGGAGTAGTGATGGTGGTGGGTGGAGTAGTGATAGTGGTGGATGGAGTAGTGATAGTGGTGGATGGAGTAGTGATGGTGGTGGGTGGAGTAGTGATGGTGGTGGGTGGAGTAGTGATAGTGGTGGGTGGAGTACTGATAGTGGTGGGTGGAGTAGTATGGTGGTGGGTGGAGTATACAATATTTCTTATTTATAAATACATTTTTCTTATTTAAAACCCCTTATCCAAATTTTTTTTTTGGGGGGGGAGGGGGGGCTGGAATGGATTAATGGCATTTAAATTAATTTCAATGAAGAAAATAGATTTGATATACTAGCAAATTGAGTTACGAGCTCTGTCACGGAATGAATTAAACTTGTAAGTCAAGGTATCACTGTATTCTGTTTGTTAAAGTATACAGTGGCTGCAAGAAAAATCCATACATTAACAGTTTTTTGACAATAATTGGAAAAAATGCAACTTAATGTATGTACATGTACAGTGGAGCCTCCCAATTTTCGGCTGTTATTTTGCTTATCAGCTGTATGGTACACGTCAACCCACTGCTGCCAGCCGCGAGCGCATCAGTCTGGCTTTGTCTCTAGGTAAGTAAGGAAGCTTCTGCTCATTCATCCAAATATTTTGCTATAATTCATTGATTTTCATGGTTATCGATTAAGTGCAACTGGGAAATAAGTAACCATAGCCCCAAAGAAAGTACCTGGTAAAGTTTCTTTGGTAAAGAAAGTGAGAAACATGATGGAATTTAAGAAAGAAGTTGTTGAAAAGTATGAGAGTGGTGTTCGAGTGCTAGAACTTGCCAGGATGTATGGGAAAAACAAATCAGCAATCACCTCTATCCTAGCAAAGAAAGAACAAATCAAGGAAGCTGATGTGGCAAAAGGAGTAAATGTGCTAACCAAACAAAGGTCACTGATAATGGAAGATATGGAGAAGTTGTTGGTTTTGTGGATCACCGAAAAATAATTAGCGGGAGATAGTGTTATGGAGTCATTGATTTGTAAGAAGGCAAGGCAATTGCATGTGGATCTTGTAAAGAAAATGCCTGGAACAAGTGCTGCTGTTAATGAATTTAGGGCCAGCAAAGGCTGGCTTGAGAGATTTAAGAAACATAGTGGCATACACAGTGTGGTAAGGAATGGGGAGGCTGCAAGTTCTGACAAATGTGCAGCTGAAAAGTTTGTGCAGGAATTCAAGAGGTACATAGAGGCTGAAGGATTCCTTCCCCAACAAGTGTTCAGTTGTGACGAAGCAGACCTCTTTTGGAAAAAAATGCCAAAGAGGACCTACATTACGCAGGAGAAAAAAGCACTGCCAGGACACAAGCCTGTGATAGACAGGCTTACTCTTTTGTTCTGTGCTAATGCTAGTAGGGATTTCCAAGTGAAGCCTTTACTAGTGTATCACTTTGAAAATCCCAGAGTGTTCAAGAAAAACAGTGTCGTCAAGAATAGATTGTGTGTGATGTTGAAAGCTAATAATAAGCCGTGGGTCACAAGGCACATTTTCAAAGAGTGGATCAGTGATGTGTTTGGTCCCAATGTGAAAAGATACCTCCTGGAATGCAAATTGCCACTCAAGTGCCTCCTGGTACTGGACAGTGCTCTTGGAAGACCAGTTGTTTAGAGACTTCAGTTTTATTTATTTATTTATTTATTTATTTAGTAATTTAGCATACATACAGAGGTACAAAAAAATACAGGTAAGAGCAGCATGCCAAAGCCTCTTATATGCATAGCATTACGGGCTGGCTTAAAATTAACTTAAGATTAACTAAGCAATGATGAAATCAGTGATAAAACATTATTGTAAACAGATAACTATAAAGCACAAATGAGTATTACAAAGACAGGTCATATGGTTGCATGCATTGCTGTACATTCAGTCTAATGGAGTATTCTGTTAGGTAGTGTATTTAAAAAAATAACAAAGTTAGATTGGGTCCTAGGTTTAACATTTGTGTGATATAATTGTGAGTAACAGTGAAGTTCTTGCCTCATAACACCACTCCTCTCATCCATGCCATGGACCAGCAGGTCATTTCTAACTTCAAAAAAAACTACACAAAAGCAGTGTTTCAAAGGTGCTTTGAAGTGACCTCGGGCACTCATTTGACCCTAAGAGAGTTGTAGAGGAATCACTTCAGTATCCTCCATTGCTTGAACCTTATAGGTAAGGCTTGGCAGGGAGTGACTTCCAGGACTTTGAACTCTGTTTGAAGAAAATTGTGTCCAGATTGTGTTCAAGAGAGGGATTTTGAAGGGTTTGGGACTGACCCTGAGGACCCTACACCTGTTGTGCAATCTATTGTGGCACTGGGAAAATCCATGGGGTTGGATGTGAGTGGCAAGGATGTGGAAGAGTTGGTGGAGGACCACAGGGAAGAGCTAACCACTGAAGAGCTGCAAGACCTTCAACTGGAACAGCAACAGAATGCAGCTGAGGAAATTGCTTCAGAGGAGGAGGAAGAGAGAGGGGAGAAGGTGCCTTCTTAAGTGATTAAGGGCATGTGTGCAAAGTGGAATGAGTTGAAAAGTATCACCCTGACCAAGCTGAAACAAGCCGTATCTGCAACATGTTCAGTGACAAAACCTTGTCCCACTTCAGGCAAATCTTAGAGATGTCAGAAACGGAGCACTCTGGACAGTTATTTTGTGCGACAGGGGTCCAATGACTCTTAAGCTGGTCCTAGTGGCATTAAAAGACAAAGAAGGGAAGTAACCGCAGAGAGGGACTTGTTACCTCAAGTCCTTATGGAGGGATATTTCCCTTCCACACAACAACCCCAACTCCCTCTCTCCTCCTCCCTATCTTCTATAAGCCAACAAGAGTCTTCAAGAAAGGTATGTAATAGTGATATAATTGTTCATGTATTTATTTTATTTAGTTCTCATTGTTTTGTGTATGTAAAACTATAATTAATCTTTAAAAAATGTATTTTTTGTTAATATTTTTGAGTGTCTGGAACAGATTAATTGTATTTACATTAATTCTTATGGGAAATATTATTTTGGTTTTCGGCCATTTCGGTTTTAGGCCGACCTTCTGGAACGGATTATGGCCGATAATTGAGGGTCCACTGTATTTTATTTTCAGTCTTTAGCTTCCAACTAGTACTTGGTCATGTTACCATTGTTCTTTATCACCATCTGAAGTCGCCTGGGCATCGAAGTGGCGATGGTGGAGAAGACAGAGGCATCCATGTTGATCCAAAGCTTCTTCAGTGCCTTCTTCAGATCCGTGATGTTGGTGGGTCGAGCTTTTGCAGTCTCATTTTTCATCACAACTCAGGCATTCTCAATAGGATTTAGGTCAGGGTAATTGCCTGGTCACTCCAAAACACTGATATTATTGTACTCGACTTATGGGCAGGGGCATCACAATGAATAAAAAAATCACTCGTGAATGTTCCAAACTGTCAGCCTTAATACCTCGATATAATTACTTCCCTTCATTGTAATGTTCTTAAGAAAGAGGTATAGTCCACCCCTGCCCTTATAACCACTAAAAGCATCCCAGACCATAACACTGTCAGGGTGCTTCACTGTCTTCACAGCATACCGTGGGTCTTAATGGGACACACCACTGGGACGAAGGACGGTCTTTGAGCCGCTCCTGATGAGCCTGAAGGTACTCTTGTTGCTGAACATCACCTTCTGCCACTGGTCTGAGGTTCAATCCTTGTACTTCTTGCAGAACTAAAGCCTTTTCTTCTTCATGGCTTGAGTTAGCATGGGCTTCTTGTCAGCACATGGAGTAGGCATATTCAGGTCCTTTTGCAGTCAGTCTGAATGGTTCGCACTGCAACGTCTTTCAGGAGTGCAGGATAGTTTTTCTTGAGGTCTGCGGCTGTTATGGCAGGATCTGATAACACTTCTCTCTTCTGGATCTTGTCTGTGTGAAGAGAAGTCTTTTTGGGGGCCCCAGACCCTACCTTCCTAGGTAGTGCAGTGCCAGGTAGGAGTGAGACAGCTGTTTTCTTGAGGTTGTAAATTGCCATTCTAGTCACCTTCAGGTCTGCAGCTACACATACCACAGACATTCCTTGCTCTAATAGGGTGAGTGCATGGGTCTTTCTGCAATTGAAAGTTTAGTTCGACACATTCTGACCACTTGGAGCAGAGATATAGCGTGGCAGAGTTCTTGGTCAAGTGAAAAAATGGACAAGAGTAACAACGTAGCTGGCCTCGTTCCTCACCTAGCTCTGGAAGAGCACTGAAGCGTGGCATGGTGGGAAACAATGGAGGAAGATGGGCTCCAGTACACTAAGCCATCACAAGCTCCGCCCTCTTTTTCTATGGAGGAATGGCAATTGAACTGTATACACCAAAATCTAGTGCATAGATTTATTTTGCATTGGAAATATATAGATTTTTTGCTGCCACTGTACAGTACACTACTGCATAAACATTTAATAATATACCAGAAATGTTATAAATGGTGCAGAGGCGACATTAAAACAATATCAAAGATAGTTGACACAATCCCACTACCATTATAGTATGCTCCTCAGCGACGAATTCGTTGACCGATGTGGTATTAGGAACGGAACTCCATCGTTAAGTGAGGACTTCCTACTTATTGTAGGAAGTCAGATGTAGGTAGTCCTGACTTCCCGTCCCAAACATAATATACGATATTTAATGCAGCCCAGAGAGATAAAATACACATACAGTACACTCATTATTTACCTTAAAATATGTGTAGTCTTAATGTACGATTAACATTAAGATTAAGATGTTTATTTTGACAAATTACATAGTTGTACAGAGGAATATAATAGTTGGGTGTACATGCCAAAAGCCCCTTTGTATGCAGAGCATTTCGGGCAGACTTAGAGATTAACTTAAGATTAGGAGAATTGAATATTCTATCAGGTAATGCTACATGGTTTTGATAAGTCTAGTAGAGACTTATTACACTGTTGAATTAGTTAATAAAGATAAGAGGTGAGTAATATTTATTTCTAGGAAGTCGGGTGTAGGTAGCCGGTAGATGCATCTCTGTAGTCCGCCTGGCTACATAGCAGCACCTATCTACCTACATACCTGCACGATATTTGATGCGCCCCAGAGCCATATTATTACCATCGACATACCTTGTTAACTGGGTTTAATCGTTTCTAACAACTACCTTTAGATGCCATCATAAACGAAGCGAGAAGTAATGAATAATTTATGCCGAGAATTATAAACAAAAGCGTTATGTGCTAAGGGGAGTGACTGGGCCATCACAGAGTCATACATGTTTTCTCTGGTGCTGGATCAGAGAAAACAATGTTTTTCCCTCCGCCCAACTGCCACACCTCCATATCATATAAACGTAGCATGTTTATATGTCATGTAACATGTTTCTTATATAATTTTGAAGAAAATATTATAGATGGAGTAATGAAAATGTCTGTATTAACATAAAATAAGACATTTAATGTGCCCAAGAGTGATTATTATTACGTACTATTAGTATTACTTTGGAGTTGAGACTAGAGGGACACACTTAGTGATTTTAATGTGTACCTGCATGCCAGCAGTGTGTAAGTACATATATTTAGGTACAGGTACACATAAATATAATTATCAGAGTACATATAAAATATGCAATAACTTTAAACACTTGAAATTTTGGAAAGTTTCCAGACATAATAGATGTGCTCATGGAGAATGTCAACAAACCGGGTGGGGCGCGCCGTGTTAGAACGACGGGGAGCTGTATATCTCAAGCATCTTTGTTTACTACTCTGAGCTTGCCTTGCCTCATGGTGTAAGTGGATGGGGATCTACCAGTGTATTAGAATGATCACTCAGTCAGGTTCCAGACAACACCTTTTCCCCCTCTATTCAGAAGTTTAAATTTACCAAGAATGCAAATATAAATCCAGTCTCAGAGCTCTTTTATTGGGTTGCAACAGAATGCATAGACAGTTCATGAAGGAAATACCTTTTTCACACCCTGCATGTTTGACTCAGCCTGAGTAGAAACTCCAGATACAAGGCCCAGAATTTTGAAAAAAACTACCAAAAGGGTCTGAAAGCTCCCTATCTACTAATTGCTTTAAGAAATATTGTTAAAAAAAAACTCAGGATCTTCATGTAAATTTATGTAAATCAAATATAAGATTTCAAACATATCTAATACAACCTACCCAACGTGATTTCAGTCAGCATTTTTACTCGTTCAGTTCATGTCTTCACTACATTTATTTCTACTCCCCAATAACTCTGTAACAAAAATTGTTTTGTATTATTATCTCTTCATATTATTATTGCTGTTTTAATAAACAGAGCTTTGTTACTTAACATAATCATTACATTTAATAATTTCATTCTCAGACAAATTAATTATGTAAAACTTAGCATTCACATAATCAAACTGGAACTATTCAATGTTAGATAGTTTAAGTTCTACTTTTAGTCTGCCAGAAAGGTTCTGTATACTGTAATGAGGGTCTTTATGCTCTACTAGTATTACCCCCAGTTCAGGTCTCCCCAAAATACTTGGCATAACTGGGCATTTCTGTGTAGGAAACTACCATTTTAAATTTTTTTCTAAACTAAAAAAATATTATTATTATTATTATTATTATTATTATTATTTATTATTATTATTATTATTATTATTATTATTATTATAGGACTGGTGAGCATGGCGCCCATGATGGCTCCTGCTGGTGGGATGGCTGTCATGACTCAGGCCATGAGTCACCCAGATTCAGGAGTTGGTCCGGACCACCACACCCTCAATGCTCCCTACCACCACCACCACCACCCTCATCACCATCATGGTCCTCCAGGCCCACACCATCCTGGTCCCCCACCACATCATCCTAGTGGACCTCCCCAGCCTCCTCCCACAGGTCCTCCCCCACACACGGGCCCTCCTCACTCACAGTATCACCCAGCCCATCACCCAGCTCAGGCCCCACATCATGGCCCTCACCCATCTCATGCCCCACATCATGGTCCTCATCATTCAGCCCCTCACACTACCCCACATTCTGCTCCACATTCTGGCCCACACACTGGGCCACATTCTGGCCCACATTCAGGACCACATTCTGGTCCACATTCTGGTCCACACACAGGTCCACACACAGGTCCACACACTGGTCCACACACTGGTCCACACACTGGTCCACACACAGGTCCACATACAGGTCCACATACAGGTCCACATACAGGTCCACATACTGGTCCACATACTGGTCCACATACTGGTCCACACTCTGGTCCTCACTCTGGTCCACACACTGGTCCGCTCTCTGGCCCTCACTCTGGCCCTCACTCAGGGCCACATGGTGGGCCACATTCTGGACCTCATGGAGGCCCCCATGGTGGTCCACATAGCCATGGTGGTCCTCATTCTGGGCCACACATGGGACTACACAGTGGTAACAGCAGCAATGGGCCACACAGTGGGCCTCACGGTGGGCCACACGGAGGTCACCATGGAGGACCTACTCACCCTCAGTCTCACCTTCAAGCAACTGGCACTGTTGCCGGACCTCCGCATATGACCCACCCTGCTCATTCTGTCATGCATCATTCAGCACCTCACCAGGTCAGTACCACACATGGTGTTTAAGGTTACAGTACAACCAGGTCTCGATTAGTGTGAACAGTGGAACCCGTGAAGTGGTCACATTATTCAAATTCACACTATTCAAATTGTATGTAATTTTTTGGATACTATTTGAAAAGAGCTGGGAAGGGGAACTAGCATTAATTAATTTTGCACTAAATCAAAAGTCGTACTAATGGAGACCTGGCTTTACTGGGTAAATCGTATTTTAACTTTTTTTTTTTTTTGTTCTTATTGTAGTATGTAAATTATGTGTATAATACTATTTTTAGGTATACAGTAAGTACTTCATACCTCAGTGCTTTGTCTGCAATTTTAGTTTTTAATTTATTATTTTTTTATTATCACACTGGCCGATTCCCACCAAGGCAGGGTGGCCCGAAAAAGAAAAACTTTCACCATCATTCACTCCATCACTGTCTTGCCAGAAGGGTGCTTTACACTACAGTTTTTAAACTGCAACATTAACACCCCTCCTTCAGAGTGCAGGCACTGTACTTCCCATCTCCAGGACTCAAGTCCGGCCTGCCGGTTTCCCTGAACCCCTTCATAAATGTTACTTTGCTCACACTCCAACAGCACGTCAAGTATTAACCCTTTGAGGGTTTTCGTCGTACTAGTACGTCTTACGCGTAGGGGTTTTTGACGTACTAGTACTCATAAATTCTAGCAGCCTCAAATCTAGTGGGAGAAAGCTGGTAGGCCTTCATATGAAAGAATGGGTCTATGTGGTCAGTGTGCACAGTCTAAAAAAAATCCTGCAGCACACAGTGCATAATGAGAAAAAAAAAACTTTTACCATTTTTTTTAATAAAGCAGCGACTTTGCAGTGTATTTTCGTATGGTATTTATTGTTGTATTCTAGTTTTCTTGGTCTCATTTTATAGAATGGAAGACATATTACAGAAATAGAGATGATTTTGACTGGTTTTACAAAGAAAGGTGCCTTGAAATTGAGCTCAAAGTAGCAGAAATGTTCGATTTTTACCAAACTTCAAAAGTAAACAAATCGTGCCAAGCGTGCAATACACGTCAACTGGTGAGTCTAATATTCTTTCACAAGTGCACCAATAATATTTATACCACTTTTTACACTAATGCAGTAGTCTGCATAACAGTAAATCTTATATTTTTTGTGAAAATAAAAATTCGAAGTGGAAAGCAAAAGAATATAAGAGGGGCCTTGAGACGTGACTAATGACCAGAGGAAATGTCATTTTAGTGCCAGGAATGTCTTTCTTGTTTATTCTGGACCCTATTCGGAAATTGGCATCTTTTGAAATTTGAGTGAAATTGGCAAAATTGCTAAATTCTGACCACTGTACTGGATAGTTGAATTTCATAAATGAGTGGTTTCTTGCACCCATTCGATAGAAAAAAATGGAGTTCTAGCGAAATATTCATGTTTTTTGTCGACTAGTACAGTGAAATTGGCCGAAAATGGGGCTCAAAGTGGGCAAAATCGCCGATGCGTAAACATCGCCGAGACCACTAACTTTGCGAGAGCATAATTCCGTAAGTTTTCTATCAAATTTCAAACTTTTGGTGTCTTTATGATCGGGAAAAGATTCTCTATCTTTTCATAAGAGAAAATAATTTTTTTTTTTTTTTTTAAATTTGGCCGACCCTGAGAACGAGTTTTGGAGAGGGCCTGTCGACCCTCAAAGGGTTAAAAACCATTTGTCTCCATTCACTCCTATCAAACACACTCACGCATGCCTGCTGGAAGTCCAAGCCCCTCGCACACAAAACCTCCTTTACCCCCTCCCTCCAACCTTTCCTAGGCCGACCCCTACCCTGCCTTCCTTCCACTACAGACTGATACACTCTTGAAGTCACTTTGTTTCGCTCCATTCTCTCTACATGTCCGAACCACCTCAACAACCCTTCCTCAGCCCTCTGGACAAGAGTTTTGGTAATCCCGCACCTCCTCCTAACTTCCAAACTACGAATTCTCTGCATTATATTCTCACCACACATTGCCCTCAGACATGACATCTCCACTGCCTCCAGCCTTCTCGCTGCAACATTCATCACCCGTGCTTCACACCCATATAAGAGCGTTGGTAAAACTATGCTCTCATACATTCCCCTCTTTGCCTCCAAGGACAAAGTTCTTTGTCTCCACAGACTCCTAAGTGCACCGCTCACCCTTTTCCCCTCATCAATTCTATGATTCACCTCATCTTTCATAGACCCATCCGCTGACACGTCCACTCCCAAATATCTGAATACATTCACCACCTCCATACTCTCTCCCTCCAATCTGGTATCCAATCTTTCATCACCTAATCTTTTTGTTATCCTCATAACCTTACTCTTTCCTGTATTCACTTTTAATTTTCTTCTTTTGCACACCCTACCAAATTAATCCACCAATCTCTGCAACTTCTCTTCAGAATCTCCCAAGAGCACAGTGTCATCAGCAAAGAGCAACTGTGACAACTCCCACTTTATGTGTGATTCTTTATCTTTTAACTCCACGCCTCTTGCCAAGACCCTCGCATTTACTTCTCTTACAACCCCATCTATAAATAGATTAAACAACCACGGTGACATCACACATCCTTGTCTAAGCCTACTTTTACTGGAAATAATTTCCCTCTTTCCTACATACTCTAACTTGAGCCTCACTATCCTCGTAAAAACTCTTCACTGCTTTCAGTAACCTACCTCCTACACCATACACCTGCAACATCTGCCACATTGCCCCCTATCCACCCTGTCATACGCCTTTTCCAAATCCATAAATGCCACAAAGACCTCTTTAAGCCTTATCTAAATACTGTTCACTTATATGTTTCACTGTAAACACCTGGTCCACACACCCCCTACCTTTCCTAAAGCCTCCTTGTTCATCTGCTATCCTATTCTCCGTCGTACTCTTAATTCTTTCAATAATAACTCTACCATACACTTTACCAGGTATACTCAACAGACTTATCCCCCTATAATTTTTGCACTCTCTTTTGTCCCCTTTGCCTTTATACAAAGAAACTATGCATGCTCTCTGCCAATCCCTAGGTACCTTACCCTCTTCTATGCATTTATTAAATAATTGCACCAACCACTCCAAAACTATATCCCCACCTGCTTTTAACATTTCTATCTTTATCCCATCAATCCCGGCTGCCTTACCCTCTTTCATTTTACCTACTACCTCACGAACTTCCCCCACACTCACAACTGGCTCTTCCTCACTCCTACAAGATGTTATTCCTCCTTGCCCTATACACGAAAGCACAGCTTCCCTATCTTCATCAACATTTAACAATTCCTCAAAATATTCCCTCCATCTTTCCAATACCTCTAACTCTCCATTTAATAACTCTCCTCTCCTATTTTTAACTGACAAATCCATTTGTTCTCTAGGCTCCCTTAACTTGTTAATCTCACTCCAAAACTTTTTCTTATTTTCAACAAAATTTGTTGATAACATCTCACCCACTCTCTCATTTGCTCTCTTTTTACATTGCTTCTCCACTTTCTTAACCTCTCTCTTTTTCTCCATATACTCTTCCCTCCATGCATCACTTCTACTTTGTAAAAACTTCTCATATGCTAACTTTTTCTCCCTTACTACTCTCTTTACATCATCATTCCACCAATCGCTCCTCTTCCCTCCCGCACCCACTTTCCTGTAACCACAAACTTCTGCTGAACACTCTAACACTACATTTTTAAACCTACCCCATACCTCTTCGACCCCATTGCCTATGCTCTCATTAGCCCATCTATCCTCCAATAGCTGTTTATATCATACCCTAACTGCCTCCTCTTCTAGTTTATAAACCTTCACCTCTCTCTTCCCTGATGCTTCTATTCTCCTTGTATCCCATCTACCTTTTACTCTCAGTGTAGCTACAACTAGAAAGTGATCTGATATATCTGTGGCCCCTCTATAAACATGTACATCCTGAAGTCTACTCAACAGTCTTTTATCTACCAATACATAATCCAACAAACTACTGTCATTTTGCCCTACATCATATCTTGTATACTTATTTATCCTCTTTTTCTTAAAATATTTATTACCTATAACTAAACCCCTTTCTATACAAAGTTCAATCAAAGGGCTCCCATTATCATTTACACCTGGCACCCCAAACTTACCTACCACACCCTCTCTAAAAGTTTCTCCTACTTTAGCATTCAGATCCTCTACCACAATTACTCTCTCACTTGGTTCAAAGGCTCCTATACATTCACTTAACATCTCCCAAAATATCTCTCTCTCCTCTACATTCCTCTCTTCTCCAGGTGCATACACGCTTATTATGACCCACTTTCATTTATATGAGGTGCTATTGTAAAGTTCCCCTGCTCAAATTTCTGCACACTTCCTGGGTGAAATATGGCAATGATATAAATCACGCTGCACAATACCTTCCTTTGTGAAGTAATGTGGCAAGTTACAGCGTGGTCGGTCATCCTGCTAAGGTTAGATGAGCTTTTTTTTTTTTTGGTAATGTTGTCAGTGCATTAATTTTTATTTTTTTTGTAACAAAATGGAATTTTCGAAAGAACAGCATGCATACATGCATGTGTCTGCGAAATTCTGTTTCAAGTTCAGTAAAACAGCTAGTGAAACAAACAAAATGCAGCAAAGCGATGATTTGGACAGTGTTTTGAATGGTTTTTCTCTATTAAGAGCAGGATGAAAGTCAGTTGAGGATGATGAAAGCTCTGGTCATCCATCAATGACAAAAACAGACACCAACATTGAAAAAGTGAGAAAGGCTATTTACAAAGATTATTGTCAGAGTACTCAGGACATTGCAAGTGCTGTGGGAATTTTTTATGGGTTCATGTCAAAGCATTTTAACTGAAAATTTGAACATGAAGTGAGTGGCTGTGAAATGTGTGTCCTGCTTGCTGGCTCAAGACTGGAAAGATAATTGCTTGGATGTTAGTCAGGACCTGAAAAAATAAGTCGGAATGACCCAGTTACTCTCTCTAAGGTCATTAACCCTTTGAGG